CTTGACCCTTTAGATTTAGTACCTTTTCCTCCATCCTGATCCCATATATGAAGAACAACTAGAATTACCACCACCATCCTCCCTAGATTTCTAAGAATTCAAGAGTCATGGAGGACTGCTTGCCTTTATCCTTGATAACTCTGGCTCTTATTTCCTGGTACTGCTAAAGTTTATCTTTACCTATGCTTTATAGTCCCTCCTATACATACATACTCCTTCTTCTTTGTCCTGAACCGTTCATTGGTTACCTCTCAATCGCTTTTTCAAAGAACCCCAACACTAGTTTGTAGCAAGGAACTTGAAATCAGACATGAAAAGGCTTTCATTTTACATCAACACCACCTGATTTTTCTTCTCATGTTGAGCCCTAACCAACCTCCTTTCTTTATCTCTCCCCCTCCTTCTTTCTTACCTTTTCTCATCTAGCCTTGGCTTCTACATTCCCTTTCTACATTAATGATGTCCTCGGAATTTATGCAACACCAGTATGGGCCAATATGAATTACACCAATTTGGTAATTAAGATTTTGAATAATGAGTAGAGAAGCAACAATTACTTGTTTATTGTCCAATGTGTGCACATGAAGATTCTTCCTATGGCACCATATCTTCCTGTTCAGGTTCAGATACTATCTGAAGTTGGTACTACCTTCTTTATTGTCAAGTGCATCTCATTCCTGGCTAATTTTAAATATGCTATCTCAAGAAAAAGGTAGCAATGCTATCATTCCTTGAAGATTGTTTGCATTGAAACAAATAAATATTCTTGCCTCAATAGTACTCTTTTACTATATATTTAATACCTGTTTCATCATTATTCATAATGATACATCCTCCCTCACATCAGCATGAATTCTAGCTCCCAAGAACTCCTTTAATGATCACTGTGTTTCATTGATGATAACCACAAATGCAAAGTCATCTTAAATTTACTATTATGCCTTTCTTAGCACAAATACATCTTCCAACACTTATTTCTTCCTGAACTCTTAGACCATAATGACTTCATTTTTAGAATGTGATCTCTGTCCATGTTAACTGCATCCCAAACTTCCATATACAGGGAAGATATGTGAGGGGCTGTGGTTAAGCAAGAAGAGTGACCCATTCCTATGAGGCATGTTTGGAAGAGCTCAATACCAACCCAGCACAAAATAACTACACTGACAAAGGAGAGAGAGGACTTCAACTGGAAGGGCCCAGGGGCATTACAGAGCAATGCTCTCCAAAGCCCTCAAAAGTAATAGACATGCCACCATGAAAACTGCATGACACTTGATGTGAACTTTGTGAAGGACTTGCAGTATCCATCCTGGTTGCCAATAAGCAGCGTGCACCCAGGGAGCACACTGGGTAAAGATACCTGCCACCTTTGTGTACTGTAGACAGAGACTATACCACTGATACAGACAGGAAAGAGCTGCCCACACACTCAGATCATCCCAAAGTTCAGTCAACAGCACAGAATCCAAGCTCACCTTGTGTCCAATGTGAATGATTTATCCAAAACTCACTGGTCTAAATCTCATCCAAGAAGAGGAAATATTGGGCTGCCCCAAGAAACTTTGAAAAATGATCTTTTGTTTTGACTGGAAAATATAATGCTAAAGATAAAAGGAAGTATACATAAATACTGTGCTCTAGTTATAAATTTGTTTCTCATAGAGGTATGAGTCAACAGTTCTGAAATTCCTTCACTTGTATCTTGGAGTTGAACAATAAGGAAATGGATGGTAGATAGGGGAGCCAAGTTTTTCACTGTCAGAGGAAGTTATAAATAAACCAAAAGAGAAGACAAATAAACTCTGTGATTCTGGAGCAGAGTCAGAGATATCAGTATGCATTCATATTTATCAAGATTGATAGTCAGACAGATGTAGACGTAAAAAAATATATAAGTATGTGTACATGCATGGGTTAGTGTACAAACCTACATTTTTAGCTGTCCCCTGAAACAGTCTAGAAGCAATGTTAACCCATTAGCAATGACTATACCCCGTGCTCAAAACTTTGTTCCTAATACCACTCTGTAGTAAACAGAATCAAAGCTCCCTGAAGAAATGGCAGTCTGAAGGAGGGAAAATGCAAGATGAGCCTGGAGATTTTTGTAGTGCCAGAAAGTTAAGATGTGTTCAAAAATAAAGTTCAGGGGCACATCAAAGGGACACAAGGAGCCTATTTGATAACCCCCAAAAGCCAAAGCTAGAATAATTTAAGTCACAAAATTCAATAATATAGTATTGTATTATAACCTAAAGTGTAAAATAAATACAATTGAGTTCATGGTAGTATAAAAAAGTGAATAAATAAATATAAGAAGTGACCATTTTTTTTACAAAAGAATTTTGAATATATATGTCAATATTTATCCTTCCAAGAGCTTCATGTTCTCTCCCACTCTCTTCTACTGTGACTAAATTTAGTGACTTGCTTCCAAAAATAGATATGGAAAGGGAAAAGTAATAATTGTACAGTGTAGAAAACTGGCAATCTCTACTGTAACAAAGTGCTCAATCTTAAAATTCCTGGTGATAAATCTTGTGGATATTATGTACCTCCTGTTGAGAAATGAGAACAATTCACACACACACACACATACACACACACACACACACAGAATCATATCTGAGTGTCTGCACTATCTGGTTGCCCAATCTCCCATATCGTGTAGCAAAAGACATACAGTGAGAGCCAGACAGCAGATGATGCACTTTCCAAGTTGCTGTCTCAGAACCAGGGAAGGCACTGGGCTCCTGGACCACTCTTAGGCTCCAGTGTTTAGGAAATTTGGGGAATTTGCCTGACCATGAATAAATTGGGGGAAGCTGGGCTCCAGGAGTCCACACTTTGGAATGTTTTTTCCAAAAGTTTTAAATACCCATTTGGTGACTGGACTGCAAGACATCCAGGTAAGAGTGCTGAGACCTAGTCCTGTATGGGTCCAGTTATGTGGAAACACCTTCCTCAAAATCTTCTATGTCTGCCTCTGAGACCCTAAACAAGCCACTCCATCTCCATTTCTCCCCTCCCAGGCTCTCTTCCCCCTTTGAGATGATTCTAACAGATGGGGAAATTATTTGATACAATCAGTATGAGGCCAAAGTGGAGTTGGGTGTGAATGGGGGAAGGTGTGGATTGTAACATTCCAGATAAACAAGGAGCTTTTCATTTTAACTTGGTACCAAAATCATTTGCAAAAATCATACTTAAACTAAAACTATAAGTATTATTATTAAGGACAAAATAAATAAGTTGTGGAGTAGCATGTACAGTATGAAAAGAATTCTATAAAAATAAAAACTATACAAAGTAACAAGACTATAAAGGACTTTTAAGTATGTAAATTTGTAGACAACAGTCTGATATTCTTGACTATTTCTTGGACCAGGGAAAAGGAGCCCAATATTGAATATAACATCTTGATTTAAAATATATATATGTTTACTCTGGTTTCTCTTCAGATTGCATAAATCTTTCGCCTTTTAAAATATATATATACTTGAGTAATATGCAAATTAACCACCATTCCGCTCAAACCATGCCCACCAGCCAATCAGAGCGAGTATGCAAATTAATCCCAACCAAGATGGCTGTAGCCACAGAGAGCAGTTGAGAGGCTTGGGTTTCAATAGAGGAAGCCAAGCTTTCCACACACTCTGGCCAGCCTAGGCCTCCACTCAAGGCTACAAAGTTTCAATTATAGAAGGTAAATAAATTCCAGATACCAGAGTCTCTGCTTGGGTCACTGGGAGCATGGCCAGCATGCAAACCACCACAGGCCCCTCACCCAGGCCACCTCACACCACAAGGGAACCCCCACCCTGATCCGGGACACCCTTCAGGGCAAACCAGCTGGCCCTCATCCATGTACCAGGCCTCTTTCCTATCTAATAAAAGAGTAATATGCAGATTGACCATCACTCCAACACACAATATGGCTGCCCCCATGTGGTCAAAGATCCTGCCCCTATGTGGACACAAGATGGCCACGACAAAATGGCCAGCAGGGGAGGGCAGTTGGAAGGCACCAGGCCTGCAAGGGAGGGCAGTTGAGAGGGACCAGGTATGTAAGGGATGGCAGTTGGAGGTGATCAACCCTGTAGGGGAGGGCAGTTAGGGGTGGCCAGGCTGGCAGAGGAGGGAAGTTGGAGGCAAACAGGCTAGTAGGGGAGTGGTTAGAGGTGATCAGGCTGGCAGTCAGAAGTGGTTAGGGGCAATCAGGAAGGCAGGCAGGTGAGTAGTTGGGAGTCAGCAGTCCTGGATTGTGAGAGGGATATCCGGTGGGATCAGGTCTAAACGGGCAGTTTAACATCCCTCGAGGAGTCCCAGATTGGAGAGGGTGCAGGCTGGGCTGAGAGACACCCCCCCCCCCAATACTTCTTCAATTAGTATTCCTTAATCACATCACATGCACTTTTCTCCAGATCTCCTAATTCCCTCTTCCACTAATGCTTCTACAAACTTGTTAAGTTTCTTATACTCTTTATGTATTCTCATCCTAGGCTGTTACATTTATTTTAGGGTCAGGGTTTATTTCCCAAATAAATTAACTATTTTTACAATGATCTGTAGCTTTATTGCCTCACATTGCTTAGAGGGCTCTAGTAGTAAGGGAATGCCATGTTTCATATATCATACTGGACCACAATCTTTACTCTTTTATTCAAAATTATAATAATGCTAAGATATTACTTTCAATGTTCATAATCCTTAACTAAGAAGAGTATTAATGTTCCCTTTAACTAATTAACTCCTTAGGAATTGGAAGTCCTCCTATGAAGTGGGGGACACAGAGGAGATTTTCACGGAACCCACAAAATGTTCAAGATGGCAACTATTCTTCGAAAAATAACAGTCCTGAGCCATTGTATTAAGTTTTTTTTTATTTTTGTTAATTGCATCACAGAGAAGGAGGAAAAATATTTAAAGACATGTATGTACTTTAGATAGACTGTTGGTTTTATACCAAAGGAAAGGAAAAAACAGATGAATAAGCTTTGGGTCTTCGTTTCTCTTTCTTTCTCTTAGGATAAGCTGAAAAATAAAAGGACAATATAAATACCGTTTGTAAAATGGCTTGTGTTTTTCAAATCTATCTCAATAAATATCAAATAGCTTAATTTCCAATTTTCACCAACGAAAATAAGTCAAGCTTGCCCTCAACCCATGGCAGCTGAATTCTTCTGCTGAGCTAGGGGAGCAGACACCCCACCAGGTATTGTAAAGTCCTCTCTTCATCACTGATGACTTCATACTTATTCAAAGTCACAAACTTTCATAATCCTCCATCCTTTACCTAACAGCTGTTTCTTACCTACACTAATTACAAACACACAAGGTGTCTTCTCCAAGTTAATTGCCATTTGGGACTGAAACAAACCACATTTTGAAACAACCAAATTTGCAGAGACAGGAAGGTCTTCCTTGTCTGAATGCACAATATGTAGGTTTTATCATGTGGCAAAGAGTAAGTTAAAGTCCAATTAGTGGAATAAGCATCAAGGTCAGTTTGGAAAATATAGAAGGAATTAATGCTCAGAAAAATGTTGCACAACTTGTTTTTCATGTAAAAGAGAAGTTTTATATATAATTTCTTTTAATTTTCCTCAACATATTACAACCAAAATTGGATAAAACATGTTTATGGTCAAACATCTAAATTTTAAAGTGGGCCTTTTTGTCCTAAGAAGAGAAAGTCTATTAAAACTCAGCATGTTGACACATGGAAACTTAGTAGCAGATTATGTACTATTAAGTAGGAATTCACATAACAGATTTCTCATATTCTCCAATGACATGAATTTGCTATTGAGCTATTAAGTTGAACTTTGTGAAATCATTGTCATTCAACTTTTTTTAACCTTCAAAAATGCATGTCATCTTGCCTAATAGCTGAAGTCATCCACTCTGAGTCATTGCTGAGTTGAATGGCTCTGTCTACTGTGTCACACTAGGTCAGAACAGGACAGTGATTAACTGTCAAGCTCTGGTTTCAATTTTTAATTGTAGCTCCACCTCTCAGAGGCTGGGTGATCCATGAGTTAACTACTTAGTCTATGCTTTGATCTGTAATTTCATTTTGCCATCTGAAATATTGGAATTATAATGGAACTCAATCCAGAAAACTATTGTGAGAATTAAATAAGTTAATATATACAAAGGCCTTAAAACAGTGATTGGCACTAGTCCATACGGCTCTTAGCTATTATAATATTAACTATTATAATTAATTTTTTAAAGAAAATCCAGAGAATATTACCTGAGATGTTTGTGAGTGTGTTGTTTTTAGGCCAAGGCAGCTTGACTTGAAGCAACAAGTTTTGGACCCTGAATACAGAGAAATGAGAGGTTTGGGGGAAGTATTAGCATCACTATTAAGATAAATGAATATTTATACAGCCATTGATGATTACAAAATAATTTTCCATGTTTCATACCCTTTAATACCAACTTAGTACTAGAATCTCTAGGAGAAAACTATGAACACTCATTGTACCCAAAGCAATAAAAACATTACACTCAAGTTGTAAAGAAAAAATAGTAAGTGACTCAGACATTTAAATATAAACTTTCCACCCGCCTGAGAAATCAAGCACTCAGATTCAACCCAATTGCAAACCAATACTTTTAAAGAAAATGCTTAAACGAAGGTTTTGTTTTAACTACGTCTTTACCCAAAAGATTTCAAAACTTCTGAATATTTCTATTTGAATTCATATGTGACCCAACTTTGGAAACAGAACAAATGCTATAAATATCTAATAATATGCTTCAAGTTAGCAGGAGATTTTTTTAAAAGAATTAATTTAAGTCATTTTTTTTCCAGACAACTGTATATAGAAGAAAAATTTGGAGCCCCAATGTATATGTGTCTTCAGATGCAGTCTCCTGAGCCCTAGCCTGACCAAGCAGCAATAAAGGGCACTGTGCATATTAAAATGAAGACGACTTCCGCACCTCCTCTGCAAAGCAGGCTTCTTTGTCAGCAGCTGTACAGCACTTCTGGAAGAAGGTTGTGAATTCTCCCATAACAGTCTTCAGTTGTTCATCAGTTGCTTTGGGTTTGTGTTTCAACAGCTCCACAAGTGCACTGCATTTAAACAAAATGAAAACAGAACAGGGAAATGGTTACTCACATGAGAAAAATGTAGATGCTGAAGACATTAGTACTGTTGTTTGAGATCATAAGTCTTAAAGCCAGGCAACTCTGAGCTTGAGGCCCAGGCTTATCACTATAAAAATTCAATATTCTCATTTCCACAAGGAGAAGAACAAAATCTACTTTTATGGTGTTGATGCTAGGTTCAAATAAAATCATCAAAGTAAATTGTTTAACATCTGTTGTATCAATAAATCTCTTTTCAGTTAAATCTCTAGAAATGATTATGTTATTACATTTAGAAAGTATTCAGATTTTTAAATGTGTGCCGTGTTGAAGTTTATAGCAATTTAAGAGCTAAAAACGATCCTTCAAAGCTTAATTATTTGGACTCCATTTAAAAGTTTTTAATCAAAACCTGGCCAGCATGGCCCAGTGGTTGGAGCATCAACCCATGGTTCGATTCCTGGCCAGGGCACATGCCTGTTGTGGGCTTGATTCCCAATGTGGGGTGTGCAGGGGCAGCTGATCAATGACTCTCTCACCATTGTTGTTCTTGTCTCCCTATCTCTTCCTCTCTGAAATCAACTTAAAATTTTTAATAAGTTTTTAATTCAAGAATCTATCATTTTGGTCTTTAATTGGCCCATTCAAAATGAATATGCAGAGGCCATGGGAAACAAGACTATCCAATTCATTGAAGCTGGTGGTTCTCTTTCATTGACGTCTGCAGAGATAATAGTACTAGAGAATCGTGTGAGCACAAGTTTTGCAATATTCCTCTTAAGTCTGTGGCCATGATCAGAACCCACCAGACATGACAGCAACTGTGCTTTGCCTATCTAACCCCTAGTGACAGAAGCAGAGTCATGCTTCAGAACTCGCATTTCTAGATGTCTTTCACCTAAATTCCATTCTCAAAAGTCACATGTTGGAGGTTTACCTTGCCTGTGGGTTGCCATAGAACAAACTTCAAATAATCACTTATGCCTAGAAATAAATTCTTCTAAGACTTCTACTAACTAATTTGCTATCTTCACAATGAATCAATTAATTGTTCAGCTTTTTCTACTGGACTTGTCCTAAGATGTTAATCTTATTACTTGGGCAGCCTTTTTCCACATAACTATTCTGAATGATTTCTACAGAAATTTATAATATAATTTTGTTGTTATTGTTTACTTTGGTAAGAGAACAAAAACCTATCCATTTTAATTTTGACAGTTTTATCACCTTAAGAAGGCAAATACTTAAGTTCTTTTTTCTAAGGAATTTAATACTACTTAAGAATATTTTGCAGTTTCCCCTATTAAGATTACAAGCACGTGTAGGAATGAAATGTTTCTCACGTTTGTTTCTTGACTTGTTGCTCAGGCTCGGGAAGTGCGCATACATTGGCATGGAAGGTGAATGTTTCAGCGTTAAATTCTTTGGGAGTAAAGGTTTCATCAGCTTCCAGTGCAGAAAAGCATGGCCGTCTGCCCACCAATGACTCTGTGCAGCATTTGGTTACTTTGTCACTCACTGGTGCTTTCTCGTGTGACACGCACAACCAGTTCAAGACCACGGACAGCTGAAGAACAGGGAGTAGAGCAGAAATTCAAAAGGAGCATAATGAAAAGTTTTCCATGAACTCCTACTTTCCAATAGACCAAAAGAAGTGTTGTATTTTAACTAGCAACACTGAATGCAAGATTCATCTCACTTGGAATATAATGAATAAAATAATCTGATGATCAAAATAGATCTTCTAGGGAACAGACTGATGAATCTCAGAGGCAAATCGGGGAAAGAGGACCAGGAAGAGATTTGCATAACCTATGGACACAGAGAATAGTGAGGTGAAGGCCTGGGGAGGGGGCAGAAGTAGAAAGGAGGGGGTGAGTGGGGGAAGCAGGGAAACATCTGTAATATTTTCAGCAATAAGGATAATTTTTTAATAAAGTCTTTTCTCTTTTAGATGTCTACATTTGCAGAATAATCCATGACTACATTTGAGAAAATAATTCATTAAAATAATTTGAGGTGATTCCTAAGACATGTGCAGGAGTGGGAGAAAGCAGTCTTATACTGATACATTAAAGGGAAGACCTCCCAAAAGTAAAAATTTTTAAATGCTAGGATGAAGCATTAAATACTCATGGATTTTTTTTTTCAGAATAATTTATCATCTTCAGGATCTTGTCTCAATCCTCATTCTGATGGTCAGGATGATATAGAGAACCAAGTTCTACTCACACAGACACACACAGACACACACACACACACACACACACACACACATTAGTTCACTCCTGCTTCTGAAAGTTAACGTTATAAAGGCAAAATTCATCATTATTGACTTATTATATATTTTAAAGGACTCACATAGTCTTCAGCACAACCCATTCTTTTCACTTCTGGAAGCTTGCAGCAGTGACTGCCCACTCTGCCTAGTTTTCTTGAGACATCCACAAGAGTTGGAGTTGACACTTGGGGTAATTTCTTCGTGTAACGAACTAAGAGCCTGTAACAAAAGACTGTGTTTTCAACCAGGCAAGAAGCTATTTTTCCTAACATAGTAGGTGAAGCAAAGAACAATTAGACAAAATCAATTACAATTATTTTCCATTCATAAAATCATCTCTATCTTTTGTTTTGTGAAGTAGAATGGGGGGAAGACCTTGTTCTAAGCAACTAGGCAAGCCTAACTTTGAATTCCAGCTGTGCTGCTTAATTTTAGGAAAGTCACTTAGCTTACTAAAATTCAGTGACATTAATTCGTTTATTAATTGCTTCTTTCTTCCAATGAAATCTACTGAGAGTTTAATATGCAGGGGTGGGCTGAAGTAGATTTATAGTTGCTCATATAGAAAAAGACATGCATGCCGAAACCGGTTTGGCTCAGTGGTAGAGAGTCAGTCTGAGGACTGAAAGGTCCCAGGTTAGATTCCAGTCAAGGGCATTTACCTTGGTTGCAGGCACATACCCAGTAGGGGGTGTGCAAGAGGCAGCTGATCGATGTTTCTCTCTCATCGACGTTTCTAGCTCTCTAACTCTCTCCCTTCCTCTCTGAAAAAAATCAATAAAATATATATATTTTTTAAAAAGACATGCAGGTTAGGATTATTACTACAGCTTTATTAACTCTGTGTTTAGCTTACTCACAACTGTCATGCTACTTTGAATAGCAGCACTGTGCTAAATTAGAAAGATATGGATGAGTTCTCTCGTCTATAAAAAAGAGGATATGTGCCTGACTCAGTAGGAATGGTGCAAGGATTAAAAGACATAAAGTATGCCATCAACCTGGCGTAAGATCTAGCAGGTAACAACCATTTATTAGGAATTCCAACTACCATTGAAAGGCAATGTATGGCTGTAATCTACTCAAGGGAAGAGACTTGTTAATTATTGCTATCCCTAGCATCCACAGTTAGAAGAGTGTTGACAATGATCAGTAAATATCTAGCTAATAGTGTGTTCCTGTTTGTCTTTAGCTCCACAAGTAAGGCTCTATTAGATCAGGATATTATTCATCAACTTATATATTACAATACTTCTTGAGTCACTGCTATTCAAGTCCAACTATTTGCTATTCTGGAAAAGCATTGCAGTTGTTGTTTTGTTTTGTTCTGTTTTTTGTCCATAAATTCTTCCTTAACTTTCAGAGGGCATCCTCAGTTCCTATAGCAAAATATTTAGTATTTTCCTTCCCAGTCTCAAGAGGCTAATTTTTTAAACTGAACTCAAATATAGGTCTCTTCAACCCACCAACTATTTTATCTCTCACTCTCCAGTCTTTCTTTATGGAGAGGAGTTATAAATATATACTGTATTTTCATGGTTATGAGTTCTATGACAGGTGAGATATATATATAGTCTTAAAAATTATAAATTGATCTCACTTATATGTGGAGTCTAGTAAACAAAATAAACTGATGAATAAAATAGATCCAGAGACCTGGAAACATGGAACAGACTAACGAATCACAGAGGGCATGGGTGGGGGGCAAGAAGTGATTAACCAAAGAACATATATTCATATATGCATAACCCATAAACACAGACAATAGTGTGGTGAAGGCCTTGGGAGAGGGGAGTGATTCGAAGGGGTAAAATGGGGGTGAGGGGAAGGAAGAGGGGACAACTCTAAGACTCAACAATAAAGATAAATTTTTATAAAATAAATAAAAATTTAAAAACCTACAAATTGATCAAGAATGACATAAGTCAAAAACAAAAATACATACGCATTTTGGAAGCCATACTCTCCAAGGTTTTCAAAGAGTTCACAATTTTTTGTGACTAATTCCTTTGGCTCATCCACAAGTGGCTTCAGTTCATCAAACTAAAAAATAAAAGAATTGTGTTTAAAGGTTTCACCAATGGACCAGATGCAGGATGTTTTTTGCCCCTATAGGTAGACTGAGAGGTTTTTTGAATGTTTCTTCCCAAAGTCATGTAAATAAACCTTTGATACCAAACCTGTTACAGTATATCCACACTACATAGTATAGGTGATTAAGAATATTCAAGCTCTGGAGTGAGACTGCTGGTTTTTTAAGCAAGGTCATCTGACTCCTTTTCTAGTTGTGGAACTTTACTTCTAATCACCAAGTTTTAGGAACCTCACCTCTAAAATGGGGATGAAGATGGTACCAACCCAGAGAATGCTCTATAAAAACCACCTGAGCTAATGAAATTGCAATAGTTCTTGGAACATAGTAGAAGCTCAATAAATTATAGCTATGATTATAAGCACTATTATTTTTAAGCCATCTCTCCAGTTGGACCCTAAGCTCTCTGAAATAAGAGATTTTATCTTGGGCATGGAATCCAGCCATGGTGCCTGGCATATAGCAGGTTCTTGGTAAAGGAAAAAAAAAATTGGGAACCACTCCACATGTTGAAAATGCTAAATATTCTAAACCTGCTAAAAATCCCATGTTAGCATAGCAAAATATATTAAAAGTCCTCGAGAACTGATTTTCTCAACTTACTAAATTTCTTGTAAGGCCATTCCTAAACCTTCTCAAAAAGATTTTAAAATATTCTAACTGAATAGATTTCACAATCTTCCTTAAGATACTAATTTTTAATACTAGATAAATCTTGAAATCAAGTTAATTATCTTTATATCTAAGTTATATCACTTTAAATTAACATTTACATTTCCTTTATCTTATTTTGTTCTATGAAAAAGAGAAAAGATGTGGTCAATATTTTTGACATTAGAGCTTGCTCTTTTCTGAGCCTTGTTTTTATATAAATAGACTACTCTAGTTTTTATTAACTAGTCTATTGAGGCCATTTCCCCTAAAATGCTTAAGAGCACAAAATTGAAATTATCTCCAGAGAATATCTCAATTGCATTATAAAATATATTGCTTTCTGGCATTATTTTTCTCTCTTATTATTGGAATCGCCAAAGAACTTTGAGAAACCTACCACTTTGGAAAGGCATGTATGAGAATCATCGGTGGCACAGCACTTCTCCAATGTAGCTTCATATCCCTTGACAAGTCTCAGTATCAATGAGACAGCATAGTCAGGATGCCTTTTTGAGTACTCATTCAAAAACCTAATTAAGATGAAAATAAAATAGACTTAGTTGAACAAATATGCAAGAAAAATCACCTAACTAACAAGCATTACTCATACCCCAAAGGTTCAATTTGACCAAACCCATCAATAAAGCTTGGCGGCTAGGGGCTAGGGTTCAGACTTACATTCAAATCCTTACTCTAACACTTATTTTACTATATCACCTTCGGCAACTGATTAAAACTTTCAGAACCTTAGTTCCCTCTTCTTTAGAATGGAGATAATAATAGGACATATCTCAGAAGGTGGATTGTGAGAAACACAGGTCATAATGTGTGCATAATACACACTGGTGCATATGAAATGTTTGATCAATGATACCTGTTATTATGTTTCTTTTGTTTACTTTGGACTTCATCTCAGAAAGGTTCAAATAGATGATAGATAGATAGATAGATAGATAGATAGATAGATAGATAGATATTCTTAAATTTTTAGTTTCCTCTATGTAGGAGTGAAATCTTGAAGGGCACATAATTTTGTAAAATATTATTTAGTACACAGAATGCTATTGTAATCCAACAATAAAATTCAAAAGTTTATCACCACTTACTGACTATAAATAATCATTTATTTTATCATTTAATTGTATGCTGCCTTGCCATCTACTGAACATCTGGTCTTTACTCGCAAATTAAAGTGCCTCTTAGCAGACTCCATACTTCTTTTTATACACCTATTCTGCTGAAAGGTAGATACAGAGCTATGAAGATGTATGACTTGTATTTATCCATATATGTCATGCTAAAGTTCAAGAAATACTCTTTAAATAAATAAGCTAATACTATGTATATAATTTATATATACACAAAATGTTTCTACAGTTATTGCCAGAAATATTCATAAGGAGCAAAGAATGGGGGAGGGTGTGGTAATAGAAAATTTTACTTTCTCCTCTTTTCTATTGATTGAAATTTTTGCCATGAGCAGATATTATTTTATGAATATTTTAAAAACCAATTGATTTTTTCCAAAACTTTTAAAGACTCAGAGAAGGAAGGATAAAGTAGCACTGCAGGCAACAATTGTAACAACTCCAAAGAAAAGCCTAGAACTGTTTTCTAAATCCTCAGAGCCTATAAAAGCTATGAAAGGATCCTTCTTTATCCACTTACGTGCCCAGGAAGACATCTTTGTTATCCTTATAATTTTTGCAAAGTTCCTTATCTTCAACAAAATCAGCATTTAATGGGGCCAAGTCATCAGGCAATTTATCATTTTCCATATCAGCAATGCATTGGGATTTGTCCAACACAGGTTTATCACAGCATGCGTTCAGGTTTTTGGAGAATAAATTTTTGTTTTCACACATATACGTGGCAAGATTTGCCTATAAGCAAGTTGATGAAAATTGTTCAAATTAAATTGACATCCCTATGCTTCCTCTCCAGACTTTTATTATGTTGGGAGAACATGTCCACCGTATTCTAAGGCCATGTACATACCAACCTGCCTTCTATGAACATTTTCAGTCTATGCTCAGAAATCTGGAGACTCAGAACTACGAAAATATTTCCACTTGTTTAAAAGCTAGTCAATAACAATATTTATTAAATCTATATTTCTACTGTTAAGGCACTTAAGTTTCAAAATTAAAACCCAATAGTAGAGGGCTGGGTGAAAAATATGTAGAGATGAAGAAATACAAATTTCTTCAGTTACAGAATAGTCACATGTCCCAAAAATTTTTCTTTGTAAACTACTTTTGCAGCTGTGCTACTTCAGTTTAAACTTTTGTTCTCAGAATATGACTGAAAGGAATTAGAAATTACTGAATGTATTTATCAGATCATTTTGTGAGTGGGATAGCCATGTATATAAATAAATAAATAAATAAATAAATAAATAAATAAATAACATGCCACAAGGCAGGAAAAGAATTGAGCATATTAGACATAGAAGATAATTTCAGTTTATTGTTAGTGATCAACAATTATACTAAGCAAATTCATTGTACCCACTGACGCATGTTACTAAAGAGAATGCTGAGGATTTCTTACCCTGTCATCTGCACATTCAAGCATGTCACCTGCGCAGCATTCCTTGTGGACTTTGGTAAGATCAGACACCACTTTGGAAAGGTCCATAAAATCAGCACCGGGAAATTTCTGGCTCAGGCGAGCAACGGACCTAAAAAGAAAATTCACCCATCACAATTTATTAAAGTCCAATATTTTATGTGAAAGCACTACGAAAATAGTACTTTTAAGAAAAAAATTTAGGACAAAATGAAATATAGAAATAATTTATAAAATTCATTCATTCTCATTTTAGTGCTATTTCTAAATCAAATTGTTATCTTAGGGCAAAATGTTTCTTTAGGGCAGAATTCTCTACTCTAAATAAGTTTGTGTGGTGGGCAGAAAAATGTCAGCGATTCATAAAATCAGAAATCAAAGAGGCATCCTGAAAGAGGTGACATATGAGAGCATCAGGTTTGGAGCCCATATCTGACTTCCAGGTCTAACTATATTGCTTAATATCAGTGTGATCCTCAAGTAGTTACTTAGATTCTCTGAGCTTTAGCCCTGAAGAGACACACAGCATGCTGCATCAGAGGATTGTGGTGAGAATTAGATTAGATGATGAATAGGAAAGCATTTTATAAACTGGAAAGGGTCACACAAACTCCAGTTGTCTTTGTTACCAATAAAAAGCCTTCTTGCTGAGTTCCAAAGTACACAGAGAAAAGAAAGGTTAATTTTCAAGATTAGAGAGTCTAACGTATTTTTACCAAGAAATTGATCCAGCACAGTCTCTAAGCCTGATGACAAGATGTGAAATGGCTAATAACCACAAGCTTTCACAAATCATTTCAGACTTGCCTAAATCTGATAAAAGATACTTCGCCAAAACCAGTCACAGCCTGTTTAATTGTGCATTGTTTCACATTGGATGATTTTGTTTAATTATTGTAGATGATAGAGGTGACAAGCAAAGATAGTACAAATTATGGTTTCTAAAAACCTTGCAAAATGTCTGTTATTCTATCTTCTGTTCATGTTGATTAGCTGTTGATAGGCAAACTAGGAATTGGGATGAGAGTAGGAAGGGGGTTCTTGGCTTTTAGAATCAGCTAAGTAATATAAAAATAGAAGTCCAGGCAAAAGCAATAAATTAAGTATGGAGCTAAAACTATAAGAAAATGAGAAGTGATCTTGTGGCTGAATTAATTATCACAACTTAAAAAACAAGCAGATAGTTTCAGATAATTGCAAGGGGCTAGAGGAGACAAAATTAAACAACAACCCTGACTATGACAGTATAAAAATCATGGACCATTAGAATAAAATCCCTATTAAAAATGTGAAGGGATTAAGTACAAAATGGTAGTATCAAAATAATCATGGGGACATAAAGTACAGTTTAGGGAATATAGTCAACAATATTCTAATAACTAAAGATGGGTACAAGTTTTATTGGGATGGTCACTTACTTAAGTTATAATATCTAATCACTGGAGTACATATAAAACTAATATAATATTGTATTAGTATGAACTATAATTGAAAAGTAAAAATTATTTTTTAAAAAGAGTAAGACCTCTTGTCTTTAGAAGTAAATGGGAGTTTAAATAACTATCATAGAATTACCCAAAAAAATCATCTAATTTTTTTTACTACTTTGAAAACATATAACAAAAATAATGATGAATTGTCAATTATGCTCTGATTTTTCACTTCTGTTAAATTTCTGACTTTTAGATAACAAGAAGGATATACATGAAAGTACTGCGTAAAAACTTATACAAATGTTCCCTGGCTCAGTTAGTTGGAGCATTATCCCATGCCCCAAAGATTTTCTGATTACTGATCAGGTCACATAACTAGGTAGCAGGTGTCTTCTCTGATTGGGAAAGCACTGATCTAAGTTTCTCTCTAACATCGATCTCTCTCTCTCTCTCTCCCTCTCTTGCTTAAAAAAAAAATCAATAAAAACATATCCTCACGTGAAGATTAAGGAAAAAAACTCATATGAAAGTACAATTTTGTCAACTGAACCATCATCATTTACATCATTACAAAATGCAAAAACTAAATTTTAAATACCATGCTTTGAAAGCTCTGTCACCGAATTTCTGAAGACTGGAGCACTTTAGTCTCTGTCGGGCACCTGAAACCACTACTTTTTCCTTCAAGGCATCCAACTACAAAAAGAAATAATTTTGGAAATATATTTTAAAACTCTATATAAAGCACCCCTTCATAAGTTCAGATAAGACTTTAACAAATTAAGTTTTAAAGACATATTGTACGCTTAAACTCCCAAGTATTCACCATTGGCAAATAATTAATTTGCTGTGCGGTGAGAGGAAAAATCAGTCCAGTCATAATGGATGCCCCTAGGTAGTGAACAACCCACTTGGGGGCATGCCCAGAGAAAAGGGAACTGAAGAGAATGGTAGAAGAACAAAGTATACTAACATCCCAGGGAATATGATTTTATTGATTTCTTAATTTTGCATAAATCCATTTCAATCCCTCTTTCACCAACTCTCACATCAATAAACTGCCTAGAAAAGATGATGAGCACATAATAAAAATTTATGGAATGAATGAAACAAGCCAAGCTTGTAGAAGCAGTGAAATTCTCCACTTTGAATTCCCTCTACAATAGGAAAGACTCATGAAAAGATAAACAGAAACTGTGGCCCTTTGCTGTGCAATTTTACAAATGAGTTTATCCTATATAATAAAAGGCTAATATGCAAATTGACCGAACAGCAGAATGACTGGTCACTATGACCCACACTGACCACCAGGAGAGTAGATGCTCAACGCAGGAGCTGCCCCTGGTGTTCATTGCTCTCCCACAGGAGGAGCACCGCTCAGCCTGAAGTTGGGCCCCAGGATGGCAAGTGCAACAGCAGTAGCGTGGCGGGGAAACTCTCCTGCCTCTGCTACAGCACTAAGGATGTCTGACTGCTGGCTTAAGCCCACTTCCCATGGGGAGTGGGCCTAAGCTGTCAGTTGGGCATCCCCCAAAGGCTCTTGGACTGCAAGAGGGCACGTCCCAATGGACACCCTCCCCTTCCCCAACCCCAAAGTGCATGAATTTCATGCACCAGACCTCTAGTTTCACTATAAAAAGAAGAGGGTATTTAGACACATACACAGTGGTTCTCTATGAGATCTGCTGGGTAAAACTTAGAAGGAGGAATGAGAATGTCATCAACCTTCAATGCGGGTGAAAAATCTTTGGGGTGAATAAAGTAAGGAAGGCTTTCTTTTTTTTAACCAAGAAAAGAAGGTTATATCAGAGACTTAGGTACCCTTCATCTAGCCATAAAGTGTCCCAAATCTGAGGTTTGAGTCTTAACTGGCTCTTCTGTTCTGCTGTGCATACCTCTGGTCCCAGGCAGGCAGCTTTATCAGCCTTTGAGCAGCAGCCTTTCAAAACTTCTTTGTATTCTTTAGCAAAGTAAAGGAGCTCTGGGCCATAGAAGAAAGGATGTCTCCTGGCAACTTCATATAAGTACCTATAATTTTAAAGAAGAAGAAAAGGCAGTCATTTTTTCTGTAGCAGACAGTATTACAGGGGCAATTATTATCAACAATTTCCCTAGAAATTCCAAAACTCAAAGACATCTAACATCAATTAAACCAATTTGCCTTTGTCATAATTTAAGTCAATAAAAAGATTAAACTTATATGCACATGTATAAAGTAAAATTAAGTTAATTCAGACAATAAGCAAAGTTAATTCTGGCAATAACTAAATGAAGTTAGTTCATAATTTTTAATGTGGACACCCCTAAGTAATGAACAACCATCATGCGGGCATTGCCAGGGAAAAGGGAACTGTTAATGTTTTCCATACAGATCATATCCTGTTTCAATTAATTCCAATAGATAATTGATCAAATTTTTTATTGTGTAGAATTTTGTAGCAGTAAGTAGTATTTCTTTGAATTTGTCATTAGAACAAAAGCTTCTAAGTCTTAATATTGAAATTATTTTTATAGTAGTTGTTATAAGGAGACTTGACCTATTTTATAATTTTTAATGTTGAAGCACAAATATCTGATTCCTGCCCTGGGTGGGTGGCCCAGTTGGTTGGAGCATCCTCTCCTACACCAAAGTTGGAGGGGGAGGGCGGGGGGAGAAGGGAAGGGGCGGAAACACGTTTTGATTCTGTAGGCAACCAATCAATGTCTCTCTCTTTCTCCCTTTCTCTCTCTCTCTCTCTCTCTCTCTCTCTCTCTCTCTCTCTCTCTCTCTCTCTCTCTCTCTCTCCCTAATCAATAAAAATATACCCTCTGATAAGGATTAAAAAATCTGATTACTTACTTTCCCAAAAACATCTGTTCGTTTTGCTCATAGGCGGTGCACATTGCTTCGGGATCTGGTCTCTCCAATGCAGACAGGTTCAGGTTATCATCTTTGTGTTTCAGGAAGCATTCGTTTCTCTCAGGTTCTTGTTTCTCACAGCAGTCAGCCATGTCACCATAGGTGCCCCGAAGAGATGCGACCGTACACAATTTATCTCCGAAAAGCGTGTGCTAAATGGAAGAGAGAGGCTTCAAATTGCTAGGCAGTGTTTTCTTTTCTTTACACCCAAAGAACAGTATTAAAAATGTTATATTCTGGTAAATCTTGGTGAGGATATGATATTACAACTCACTTTTTTCCTCAGGTATAGAGAGGTTCCCCTGACTTAATAATCTATGTGTAATTTTTTAAGAAGTAATTATCACACTGTTAGTTACAGTGGATAAAATAGAAGGGACATTAGAGAAGAAAGTGTATTTAAATCCATTATAATCACTGTGTGTGACCTCAATAAAGAAAAGCTTTAGAACTATAGGCATAGCTAGGATGTCTCTCTCATAGAAGAAATGATGGCTCTATCCATTTGTGAGTGTTGCTTGCAAATATGGTCATTTAATAATAATAGAGAAAGCCAAAATGGGGTGTTTTCCCTTTGTAGTGCTCAGGGTTACTTAAAATAAGAAGAAATAATACTCAAAACTACAATGTACTTACCAGGGACTTGCCACAATTTTCAGCTGACTCATCGGCAACACAAGTTTTTGCAAACGCGGTTACTTCATTTGCTAACTTTACATGCTCTTCAAATGGGCATTTCTGGAGATACTGGGCAAAGGTGACCAGCACCCTGAAACATAGGACATAAAAAAATTGGTATAATAAAACTTTAATATAAAATAGGTTGCTAGGCTAGAGAACAAATGTGCTATATTTTTTGCCTCTTCCTATTATCCTGAGAGACTATTCACATCAGCAATCATCTGAGGTCTAAACTGGTATATGTGGTTTTTTAAGCAAAGAAGATATGTGTTTCCACCATATTTAAGTATATAAGTGAGCAGATGACCACATACAGAGCAAGCAAGCAACATGCATTCTAAATAGGTATAATTGTTAAGATGAGGGGCATTGCATAGGCCCTTGTACTATTTAAAACAAAAAGCAAAAATCATACATACATCTCCTTTAATCAGGCTATAGAATGAAATTGGCCTTTAAAAAATAAACTATTTTCTCGTTCTTTACTAGATTAAAAACATATTAAAATGCTCTCTAGAAATGACATCTATTTGCTAGGTAAAGGAATCTGAGAGTGTTCTGGGAAAGGAACCATATTTTAAAGTCTTTCCCCTCAATCAAGCTTATGTAAGAGTTCCAGAGCTACTACACTTCCCCATACAGTAGCCACCAGCCATGTGTAACTATATAGTTAAATTAATTAAAATTGCATACAACTAAAACTTTTGATTCTCAGTTGCACTTGCCAAGTTCAAAGTTCTCAACAACAATGTGTGACCAGTGGCTAGCACATTGGTCAATACTGATATGGAATATCGTCATGAATGCAGAAAATTCTACTAAACAGTACTGTTCGAGCATCTGGACTCTGATGACAGGGGAATGTAAAAACTTCAGAATAATAACCAATCCTATTAGACACATTAAATTTGGCTCTTCAATATTATAACTTACAGGCCTCTGAAATTTTCTTCTCCTAAATCCTTGAACCGATGAGCAACTTCACTCTTGTCTGTGGGGGGGGGGGGGGAGATTTGTTTAAATACTGAAGAAAACAACTGGTTATGATATGACTTTTTATGTTTCTCTCCATTTGACTTAGTATTCATTTGCTCGAAAATATTGGGATGACAGTGAACTATTTCTTCTGCTTTTAAATAAGAGATGTTCAATCGCCAATGATACTATTTGAAAAATCATTAAATATTTATAGCTTTATATTCAAAGTTGGATAAGATATAATGCTACTGAGAGGACCGTATGAAGGAAAAAATATAAACACAAATTTTATTCATGAGGCTATCAACACAGGTTGTGTTGTTTTAATGCATTAAGGTGCAATAATAAAGGCTTTGACAATTTCGAGTTATGAATTCTATCTTCAACTGAAGTTTAAGTCCCTCCATGTCCCATCGTATGCAAAGGGAAAAGACAGTCACTAAACAATCCCCACCTTTTTCACTTAGGATAACTTTCTAAAAGTTCACAAATGCAAAATATCGTCACAATCTAGAAATTAGTGCTAAAGGAAAGCTTACTTCTTTATAGATGCAAAGTTTCCCGAAACTTTCTTTTACTGGTAAAATGAAATAAATTTGAACAATGAAAAAAAAAATAGAATTCTTACGTGCATCTCGACGAAACACACCCCTGGAGTAGGCAGAGCTGAAAAGAAAGAGAACACAAATGAAGGTTATCCCCTTCATTGTGCCAAAGGCTTGTGGGGTTGAAGGGAAAGGTAGGATGAATGGAGAGAAATTAGCACTAATATACTTCTTTAACCGATCATTGTAGATTATTAACTAGACTCATCTTTGTATTTCATTGGCTCCCAACTGATTACAAAATTCATAATGTTCTTGCCAAAAAATTGTTTGACTAAATCCCTTGCGTATGTTTGCCATCTGGACCTGTTTGCTCCACAAAGACCTTGTCAGTTCATTCAAGTTATGTAAAATATCTTATCAAATTTTACCTAAGAGTTTAAACAATCTGTACCTGTCATTCATGACCATGTTCTTTGTCTGTGATTTACCATTTGAACATTTTAGTTTTTAATATTTGCAAAAATTTAGCCAAACCAATGACTCAGTATGGGAATAAGACATACTAAAAGAGCTAAGCTCTGAACCATATATATTACAAATTCATTATTCATTTTCATAATGAATAATGGAAACAGACTTGCCCTTTATGTCACAGATGAATGGAAATAAAAGAATGTCTGCCTATGAACTTATTTCCATTGGAGAAATCTTAAATTAGAATAGAAAACTATTCTAATTTTCTAAATAGAGAAAATGATTCCTTTTGGAGGATAAATTATGCCAGCTTTTCTTTAGCTTTTGAGAAAGAGTAAGTACCTTTGACTTGAAGTTGATGTCAAAAATAGTGTTATTTTTTAATGCATTTCCAGGAAAGACTTGATCAAACAGGAAATTCTTATAATTCAGTATAATCCTATTAATAAAGATGGAATTTGCAAATTGACCATCAATTCTCTACAAAGATGGCAGCTCCCACAGCCAATAAAGAGGGAATATGCAAATTGGCACAACAAAGATGGCAGTGGTCAGGATGGGACACTTGTGTCATCGCCATGGTGACAATGCAGGTGTTCCATCCCACCCCTGCTGTGCTGGGCCTCTGGGCAGCACACAGGGAGCTACAGGAGCTGCAGGGCCAGAGCAATGCAGAAGACAGCAGTCAGAGCAAAATCTCAGGTCCTGGGTGCCAGAGGGAAACCAGTGCCTGCAGCCAGGGGAAGGAAGCCCTATTCTTGCATTGGGCCTCTAGTTGTATTACTAATGCTCAAAATTAGCCTTTGTCATGCACACCTATACTTTGTACATATGTTTCATTTAATAAATTAAAAGAATAATATTTGTTTCTCCACCTACTTTGCACTGTAATATCATATTGTATTACAATAATAAAGAGGGGAAATCAGGCCCTAACTGGTTTGGCTCAGTGAATAGAGGATCAGCCTGTGGACTGAAGGGTCCCAGGTACAATTCCAGTCAAGGGCAGATACCTTGGTTGTGAGCACATCCCCATTATGGAGGTGTGCAGGAGGCAGTTGATCGATGTTTCTCTCTCATCAATGTTTCCAACTCTCTCCCTCTCCCTTCCTCTCTGTAAAAAAATCAATAAAATATATATTTTTAAAAAGAGGAAAAACCAAAAAAAAGTCATTCATGATTTTAGAAGCTGATGATGGATTTTCCTATGTTCCGTGAAGATCCCATAGTTCTCAAACATAAAAATCAAAACTCTTGAATCTTTCCCTGCATACCAATAAGGTGTATTCCTTGTGCATATCATTATTAAAGATTAATAAATGGTTATAAAGTTAAAATGTTTTATTCTTAATACTATCTTCATGCTTAAAAATCTATCTTAATTAATAAGAAATGCTTTAACATTTGCATTTTGTGAACTTCTAAAGTAAGAATTCAAACATTTTTTCTACTGGGCAAATGTATTCTATACTGAGAAGAATAAAAAAATAAATGTTAGTGATTTATAGATACACTGTTCTTCAAGCTTTTGATTTTTATAAAGTATTACATATAGTAGTACATATATCTCCTTTTGTTTTCCCCTTTGACCTTCCTCCTGTCGCCCCTACCCACTGTCGCATGCCCTCATTCCACACCCCCAGTGTCTTGTGTCCATTGGTGTGCTTATATGCATGCATACAAGTCCTTTAGTTGATCTCTCTCCCCCACCCCCGCAACACTCCCAGGCCTTCCTGCTATAAATTGACAGTCTGTTCAGTGCTTTACTGCCTCTGTATCTATATTTTTATTCATTAGGTTATAATGTTCTTTATTTTCCAAAAATGAGTGAGATCATGTAGTATTTTTCTTTCATTGCCTGGCTTATTTTACTTAACGTAATGCTCTCCAGGTCCATCCATGCTGCTGCAAATGGTAATAATTCATTCTTTTTTATATTAGTGTAGTATTCCATTGTGTAGATGTACCATAGTTTTCTAATCCACTCATCTGTTGATGGGCATTTAGGCTATTTCCAAATCTTAGCTACAGTGAATTGTGATGCTCTGAACATAGGGGTGCATATATCCTTTCTGATTAGTGTTTCTAGTTCCTTGGGATATATTCCTAGAAGTGGGATCACTGGGACAAATGGGAGTTCCATTTTTAGGTTTTTGAGGAAACTCCATGCTGTTCTCCACAGTGGCTGCACCAGTCTGCATTCCCACCAGCAGTGCATGGGGGTTCCTTTTTCTCAGCATCCTGGCCCACACTTGTGGTTTGTTGATTTGTTGATAATAGCCATTCTGACAGGTGTGAGATGGTACCACATTGTTGTTTTGATTTGCAACTCTCAGATAATTAGTGACTTTGAGTATGTTTCCATATGTCTCTTGGTCTTCCTTCTCTCTTCTTTTAAAAAGATTATATTTAGGTCCGTTGCCCATTTTTTTATTGGATCATTTATCTTCCTTTTATTGAGTTGTATAAATTCCCTGTAGATGTTGGAGATTAAACCTGTTCTTCAAGCTTTTAAATTCTTATGTTAACCAAGGACTCTGGCATGAGAATAAATGCATATATTTTAACCAAGAGTTATAAACATGGCTTACAGAATCTAGTTTTTAAGTAAGTAGGAAATGAGCTCCAGTGATTTTTAAATGTTTTCCATTTTATGGGAAAATAGTTAAGAAAATTGCTTCTTATGGAAAGAATAGTAGTGCACTGATCATTTAGAAGAGAAAAAAAATGCCTAATTGAAATATAAATATAACTTGGAATTAAACCTGAGTTTTTAACCCTTTGTCCTTTGTTTTCCATTCATTTTGACAGGATGAAATTGGCATAGTATTGAAGCAGATGAAATATCTCTTTGGACCAGTCCCCCACTTCTTTGTATTGCGAATCATAACCTTAAACCTGCACTCTCCTACTACCATGGGATTCCTGAAGCTTCTCAGCAAGTCCTTCAAACCAGGTTCCTCTCCAACTGGCCATCTTCTTGGTTCAGCCTTTATGTGGTCCCCTTCTATGATAGACTACTACTTCTGAGTCACCTTCTCTTAGGAAAAAGTGAAACATATGCATAGAATGTGACAGCAATATCTAGCAATAGCTAGTGTTTTAATAGACAACCTCTCAACTCAAAAGTCTTTAGAAAATAGCAGAAACTGGTTTGGCTCAATGGATAGAGTGTTGGCTTGGGGACTGAAGGGACCTGGGTTTGATTCTGGTCAAGGGCATGTACCTTGGTTGTGGGCATATCCCCAGTAGGGGGTGTGCAAGAGGCAGCTGATCGATGACTCTCTCTCATTGATGCTTCTCTCTATCTCTCTCCCTTACTCTCTATACAAAATCAATATATTTTTTAAAAAGTCTTTAGGAAATAGGGGAAATTTGATTTCATTTGGCGAGAAAAATAAAAACATGGAAATCTTTCCTTAACATTCTCCCTACTGTACTATAGATATATGCAGATCTTACCTATCCATGAAGGGCCTGGGCTGTTTAAAAAAAAAAAAAAAAAAAAAAACAGAAGGTAGAAAAACAAAAAACTATTAAGCATTAAACTAACCAATTGAACATGGTAAGAGATTTAATATTTACTTGTGAAAATACATTTCTCATTAAAAAAAAAAAAAGTTTAAAAATGAATTGTTCAGCCGAGACCGGTTTGGCTCAGCGGTAGAGCATCGGTCTGCAGACTGACGGGTCCCAGGTTCGATTCCGGTCAGGGGCATGTACGTTGGTTATGGGCACATCCCCAGTGTGGGGTGTGCAGGAGGCAGCTGGTCGATGTTTCTCTCTCATCGACGTTTCTGGCTCTCTATCTCTCTACCTTCCTCTCTGTAAAAAATCAATAAAATATATTTTTTTAAATGAATTGTTCAAAATGTATGGAATGTGCATAAACATATCTCATGCAAATTAAAAATTATGATGTAATCTAAATATCAATGTTTCTCTCATCACCCTCCATAAGTCATCCCCCATCCCAATATTTCTTGCATTAGTAAGAAATAAAAAATATGCTGAAGATCTGAATATCCCCTAGCAGGAGGCTCCCATTTCTGCCTTTTCTCATGTTCACTGGGCCTCTGGGATTTACATCTAACTCCTCTCAAATATATTAACCATTTACTTCAAATTTATCTCAGCTCTTAATCTGCAGCTTAATGCAACTCCATGTCAATTTCTAGCTCCAAACTCAAACATGCAGATCTGTATATACCTCCACAGCAATAGTATATTTTTAAGTATATTTTTACCGATTTCAGAGAGAAAGGGGTGGGGAGAGAGAGAGAAATAAACATCATTGATGAGAGAGAATCATTGATCGGCTACCTCCTGCACACCCCCTACTGGGGATGGAGCCTGCAACCAGAGCTTGTGCCCTTGACTTGAATCCAACCTGGGACCGCTCAGTCTGCAGACAGATGTGCTAGCCACTTGCCAAACCGGCTAGGAATGAATTGAATTATTTGTAAGGATTTTCTATCTTGAACAGCCTATGCTTCCCTATTCCCATGTTACAGTCTTTTGAAATGAGAAAAGGACCTGGCTGGTAGAATAACTATAAAGATACCCCCTGCTTTTCAACAGTTCACATTTCCCCACTTGGCTCTTACAAAAACAAAACAAAAAAACAAACAAACAAACAAAAAAACTACGTTAGTACCTGGTTTGTTTGTTTGTTTGTTTTTCATTATTATTTTAACATATCACTCTGATATGTTTTCATTGATTTTAGAGAGAGAGGGAAGGAAAAAGAGAGAGAGAAA